TTACTACACACACACACACACACACACACACGCGCGCGCGCGCGCGCGCGCGCGCGCACGCACGCACACACTTGCTAATTACGTAATCTTTTTAAAGCAAATATGTATTTTCATTAATTTATCTAATTATTAATTTATCTAATTATTCTGTGCATAAAGTATTAAGATTATCAAGGAATAATAGTTTAGATATTTTATATTCTGTCAGAATATATCGGAATAAAATATTTTATAAACTGTTAACTTCTTTGATATTACCTATATCTTAATACTTTTACATCCAAATTAACTAGAGGAATTATATTTTGTAGCATAAGTATAACCCCATTTAAAAAATAGAATTATATAAAATGGAACTATGTATAAAAAATCTTGATAGTGGCTCCATCTGTGAATGAATCAATATCATAATAATATGGTTCGATATCCTGTTTTATCTTGAAACATTTTTCCCAAAAATACTTCATATTCATGATAACTGATTACATTTAAAATAAAACATGACATAAGACTGTAAACATGACATAAGACACGTATATAAACTGAATTAATATTAATGTAATTATAAATTTCCTAATAATAATAAAAAGTATATAAAAATATATAATAAAATAAATAATAAGATAGTTCTCGATAATTTTTTTCAGTTTATATTTATCAAACGTACATATGTGATAATGCACATAATTAATTCATTTTAACGCATTTATTTATAAGAACGAAATTTTTTGTTTTAATCAAATATCATGATTTAATATGGCCAAAGTGAGAAAATAAAAATTATATAATACGCAGTTGAAATTTAATGTTATAGAAGAATATTGAAGAATTTTTTTCTTTCTTCTTATTGATATAGCCTCTCGCAATGAAATGTTTATATATCGTTGCATTAATGGCGATGTTCTGGGTAACCGAAGTTCTGCCATTGCCCATTACGGGTTTGATTCCAATAGTTCTATATCCGTTAATGGGTATTATGTCTACTAATGACACTTGCCTATGCTATATGAATGATACCACGATGATGTTTCTGGGCAGTTTAGTAATTGCAGTGGTCATCGAAAATTCTGGCTTACACATGCGAGTGGCGCTACTTATTATCAAGACTATTGGTTGCAGTCATCGAAGGTGTTTTATGTCATTATGTTATTTTATGTCTTTATAAAACATTAAAAGATTCAATTTTTTCAGTTTATTCATGAAATTGAATTCTTTGACAATATCATCGAGAGTTTTCAAATAATGTAAATTAGAATATTGCTTGTTATTGATTATGGCATGGATAAATTCATAATATCTTAAAAGTTACATTAAATTAGTGGTTCAAATCGAGTACTTCATTTACCGTTTTTTTAAATTTTCAATAAATCATATATTTAATATTCAATAAATTATAAGAATTATTATTAAAGAATTATTATTAAAGAATTATTATTAAAATTATTATAAAAGATATGTTAGATTTATCACTATTACTATCTGCTAATAAAAAGTACTATCTGCTAATGAAAAATTAAATCGAAAGTATTTAAATCAACTAATAACAGATTGATTAAAATTCATATGTTCAAGTATATTGTATAATAATAAAAATATTCTTATTAATATCAAATTGCTTTTAAACATTAACTGTATATTTCTGAATCCTTATTTTATTTCTTAATTTTTTTCTAAATTTATTTATTTAAACATCCGATAGTATTAACAGCAACATAAATATTATTAATATTATCTTGTCGAAAATGATCTTAGGAGTTGTCTAAATTATATAATATATGTATAATATATATAATATATATATATATATATATATAATATATAATATATATATAATATATGTAAGAAAATTTATTAAATAACATGTGTATATAGATAGATGTATATTTGTTTCTCGTCTTTCGGCTTTGAAAGGGATTTTATATCAATCTTACATATATAAACATAAAAATAATACATCATACGGAAATAATAGCTCGACAAATACATATATAAGTTTTGTTCGTTTTGGTTTATAAATTACACTTGTGTTTTAACTTTCTTATAAGCTCATTTTCTACTGTTTGTATGCTATTCTTTTAACCTTATTTTCTCTTCTCGTTCTTATGATCTTTTTCATCCGACTGATTCCTTCCCCTTTTTCTCGTAACAATTGATTTAATCTTGTACTATTTCTTATCTTTACAATTTGATGCTAAGTGTTCGAATTTGTTTCGGTTTCATTGACACAATTTACAGATATTCTCCTCCTGCTTGCGCCAGAATTCTATTACCTAATTCTTCATTCCCACACCTAAATCTCGCGACAATTCTGTGAAAATCCTTTTGACGACGTTTTTTTTAAAAATTCCGGGATTTCTATCATATATATCGTATCCTCTCTATATCTTCTTTCGTATCTAATTTTGAATCTTGTTATGTTGCATTTATTTCTGGATTTCTATACCTCTTATCGTAAGCATTATTTCGTGTTCATTATTTCGTGTCTTTGTTCCCTTAAGTTTTTAATTTCTATTCTATATATAGATAATGTGTATCTAAATGTCTAAATTTTGAATTCGACTGCTCAATTATAAACACTTTACAATTAAGGGAATGCTAGATTTGTCTGTATTACCGACAAAATGCAGTAATTTTTATATTGCTCTCATTTTTTTATTAACTTTATAGATCTGGAAATCCTTTTCCACAATTAAAGTTTATGCATTAATATGTATCTGGATATGAATGTATCTGCATATGAATTTCGTATTGATAACAAAAAAAATTTTTTTAATTTTTTCTTTTTTTACCATTTGGTATTTTAAAATGGCGTCCAAAACTGTTAAGTCGCATCAATCTTTGCTTTATATAAAAATTTTATAGCCTGTACCTACAAAACTGATATTGCTAGACAAGAAGATTACATGAAGAAACAATATTGAGTTCTTAGAATTAAGCTAGATAGAATGTGAAAAAACAATACGAAAATTTGTTCATATGTGTATCACGTGTAATAGAAATATATGAGTTTATGTACGTATACATAAATGTATCTATGTATGTTAAATGTACATATGTGTGAACCTTTTCGTCGGAGTTCGCTCGTTAGGATGATTTGTAGAATTTCAAGAAAAAAATATTATCTACCAAATAATTTATAATATATATTTTATACTTATTTTTTAATAAAATAATTTTCAAAATTAATTTTATAATATAATATAAATTTCAGTCAATTTTATAATATAAATTTAATTTTCTTATAAAATAACATTTAAAAATATTAAATTAAAATTATAAAACATCTAGCATTCTATATGTTATTCCAATATATTATTAAAATTATTAAAATAGACCATAAATATTTTATAAATATTTTATAAATTACTAAGTTCTTATGATTTTAAATTTCAATTTATTTTATATAAAAAATAATTGAATTATAAAAGAAAATCATGTTATTAAAAATAATGAGTTTTAAATTTTTTAACATATTAATATCAATAAAGAATATTATAAGGAATATTATAAAGAATTTATTTATATTTTTTCTTTAAAATTGTCTATAAAACATTTAAACTATTTTTATTGAATATAAAAAAATAATATACTACATTTAAAATAATATTTTAAAGTTTTTCATATTTAATGTAAACAAAGCATCCCATTTTAATTACTTCAATAAAATAATACAAAAATGATAAGATTTATTGAACAAGATTGAAGATTTATGAAACAATGTTTGAAATTATAATTATAGGATTTCGTGAGGGCCACATGATTATAATCATTTATTCACAAATAGCATTATTGTTAATGTTTTTTTATGATCATTATTTTTTTAAATAAAATCATTTTTGTTATGTAATATAATTGCTTTAATTATTCTGGATATAAAAGTATTAAAGTAAAGCAATTATTAAAAAGTCAATAGTTTAGACATGTTATATTTTATTCTTGCATATTCTGATTTAAAAAATAAAATATCTTCTAAACTACTCATTTTTTAATAATCTTATCTTAATATAATATATAATAATAATTTATGCATACAATAACAAAACAAATGAATTAAAAACATTAAAAAAACATATAAATGTGTTATAAAAAAAAATATATTTGCATACTGTAAATTCCTTCATAATTTTTTTAAAATTAAGAGTTATGTATCTTCTTTACACCAGGTGATATATCTTATTATTTTGTGCTGAAAAATGGTATAGATAGTAAAAAATAACTTTTCATATATGCAATATTTTAAAATATCAAAATACTCGAATGAAATATAAAATATCTCATAAATTATTAATGTTTTTATAATTTTACATTAATATTTTTATTAAGAAAAACAAATTATATAAATAAAGTTATATATTTTATTATAAAAGTAATATTTATAAAGGAATATGACAGCGCTATTGCGAAGGAATTAATATCATAATTATTTGGTTTCCTCAAAACTCTACAACGTTTATTTCAAATAATTTTTCTAACTAAAATGTATATATAACAAAATTATTTAATGATTTTTACCAAATATCCATTCATCTATATCTATATCTTTTAGTTTTTCCATTTCAAATTTTAGGAGACTAAATAAGACTTTAGAACACAAATAAATTCTTTCTTTTAATCTCAGGTTGACATTAGGTCTCTTCTTTGTGACGATGTTCATTTCAATGTGGATTTCGAATACTGCCGCTACAGCCATGATGATACCAATAATGGAAACTGTTCTTATAGAACTCGAGACGGTAAGTTTTTTTTTAAACATCTCATATTGTAAAAAACTTCATTAAAGAAAATATTTTTCCAAATTTATTTCAGCAAGGACTTGGAAATATGTTCGTACAGAAAGAAGGAGAGGTAGAAGAAGAAAGCACAGAAATGTATTTATTCATCGTTGCCAATATTTTTGTCTTCTTTTTCATTCTTCGTTTTTTAGATTTAATTGTATATTTATATATATTGGATGTTCCAAAATTCCTGCATGTGAAGTATATATTATATTATAGACGAAACACAATCATAAAAAAACAAAGATTTTTCCAGATATTTTATATTTCATAGCAAGATATGTCAAAATAAGTATAACATATTTTGTAAATCATATTATTAACTTTTTGATAACTGTACCTTAATATTCTTACAATAATTAGAATAATTAGAAGAATTATATTACGTATACAAAAATGTAATAAAAAATGATATCCATTGATGATCCATTTAAAAATATAACGACTATAAAAAAATCGTGACGCCATCCATGTGTGGTCACGCGTACTGCCAGGCATGCGGCTCACGTACGCCTGTCTAAAGGACGGCGGTGATTGGATTAACTTCGCTCACAAGGAACCACAACCAAGTGCCCCCTCCCCCGATTTTAATAAACATCAAATATGTTAAAATATAGGCAAAAATAAGAGACACGTCTTTTTTTATAAGTGCTGAGCTGCATGTTAAGGGAGTTAAACTTCCCTTTAAAAAAGAATCAATTTTTTTTCTTTCAAAGCGAATATTGTTAAAACTATAACAGATAGAAAAAAAAGTTTTATATAAAAATTAAATCATTTCAAAAGTACTTTATAAAAGAAATAAAAAAGGTTTCTTTAACTTTTTTTAGTTTCCCCCCTCACTCTATATATCTATATCTTTATTTTGAAATTTTTTAATAATTAAATTAAAGGTTATTTTTATGCGAATTCAACCATATATGATAAACTTATTTTCCGAAATATCATTTTTGAAAAATAATTATAAATTCTTACGTATATACGCTAGCCGTATCCATCCATGCGCTCGATTTTTCGCGCTGAACAAATTTCATCTCATACTGCACTGATTACGCGAGAGAGCAAATCAATATAGTACATTGAATATTGAAAAAGAGAGTTTCATAATAATATTAATAGTAATAATAATAAAATAATATTAAAATAATAATAAAATAGCAATGAGTTTATTAAATAACCGTTATAACCGTTAAAATCAGTCAAATACTTTGACGATATGTTAACGTATATACCGAATACTTTGGACAATTAAAAACGAATTATTATATGATTAAAGAAAACAAATTATTATATTTATAAAACATTATTTATTTAACTTTAACTATAGAGCAGCTAATTGCAGGTGCATGTATATTTAAATAAGTTCGTAAATCTTGGTGATAAAAATTGATTATAAGTTAACGATTGCAATTTTAAAATAGCGTTTCTTGAATAAAGTTTTACCTCGAAATTTAGAAGCATGACGATATTTGAAAAATCTCTGATAAAATTTTCCCATAAACAAAAACCATATACATCTAACGATTGTATTCTTCCAGTTGTTCCAGCTGGTACAATTAACAAAACAATATTTTCTGCATATTCTAGTCTACTTCTTTGAATTATATCAGGACAATGACCAGTCCATGAATTTAGTAATAAAACTGATTTTGATTCAACATTTGGGAAATATACTTCTTTCAACCAAATTTTAAAGTAATGAGATGATAATTTCCCAAATTTCGATGCCATTACAAAGATATTGTTTGTTGTAAACATTGTACTTTGGACTTAATGTTCTAGTTTCTTTTAATATTATAAAAAAGGAGATAACAATCTACCATCAGCTGATTAAGCTGATTTAATAGTCTGTATTGTGTAATTACGTGTAATTGCAGATGTTGATTGCACTACAGATTCTATTTTTTTTACACTTTTTTGTGATAAAGTACGGTCAGCATGAAGTTCTAATTGAAAACCACTTTGATCTGAATTATATACATTTTCAATTCCATAACGCTCAATATAATATTTAACATTTTCAATAAATCTATCATTCTTTGTTTCAAAAAGCAGTCTTTAACATTAAAATCTTCTTCATTATAAATTTTGTAATTTTTTTGGAAACTATTTTATGCGCAAACTTAAATCTTCTAATCCATCATGCTTTAAACTGGTAAATTTTCTTGTTGTTGTACTTGCAAACCCCATTGCATAATATCGATATCGTAAATTATTGCTCCCCTTTCAATCGCTTCAATAAATTTATCTAATGTATATGCTGAAATTTGTCTTAACTCTTCTAACCTATTACCATCGTCATTTAGTTGTTTTTTTCCGTTGTCGCAATTGTCTTGCTAATGAAACTTTCCAAAATCTTGATATCGCAGATTCAATTTTTCTTGGCTTATTATCCTTAGCACTTCTCCAATATTGAATTGCTTCTTTTTTATATTCCATTGGAATATCATCGACGTCTCATGATATTTCTTTTACATCGTATGTATAATTTTCTTCTTCATCATCTCTATTTCTTCTGCTTCTGATACATCAAATTCATCTCGGAAGTCCAATGATCTTCTTCCATTTCATATCCATTTTCGTACATTCTTTTAACACAACTTCCATTTTTTGTCCCATTATAAGTTCATCTGATGTAACAAAACTGTCTGGGAAGTCCAAAATACTAAATATTGCGGATAGCAATATTATTACATTTCACGAATTAGCAGTATTACATTTCACAGATTAAACTTGTTTCTAAAAAGTATATATATTATTTATATGTCTCCATTTTAATGTAATACTTATTAAAGTTGTAAGATAGATAAGAAGAACGACGTAATTGTATATAAGCACTAGACAGCAACGATATGACTATTGCGATTACTCATGATATAAAAGAATCGTTCTTAAGTCATCGGTAATGATTGACACAGAAATTAAAGTTTCTAACCGAACAACAAACGACACATTATTTACCATGCCTATCTTCAATTACGTTATAAAATAGAAGAGAGAGAGAGAGAGAGAGAGAGAGAGAGAGGAAGAGAGAGAATAAGTTTTCTAATTAATTTATTGTGTAATAAATTTAATACTTGTAAAATAGATATTCTTGAAGGAAATCTGTTGAATAAAGAAAAAGGATAATATTGTACATATACATATTGTAATATACAAACAATATTTTATTACCTACAAATATTTTACAAATACAACCAGAATTAATGAATTGTTTGTTTTTAAACTAATAATTAAATAAAACAAATAAAATCA